AGGGCTTCTAGGTCCCCTGGAGTTCTGATGGAAGGCTTGAGCCTTTGGAATTAAAGGAAGATCTTAAATCAAACCAGAGCTACCAATCAAGGTGCTCCTAGGTCTGACATGGGCTCACACTCCAGGTCTAGCCACACAGGAAGGCCAGGCTAGGACCCACCTGGACAGCCAACAGACATATAAAGAGAGCTGTGCCACTATTATCAGTCTCGCTCCAGGATGGCAGCACATAGGGTGGGATGTCCCTCACAGATAACGTTGATCCTTAGTATCACAGGACTTGAAGCACCCAAAATAGCTTAGCTTCAAGTTCAGGGGTACTATGGGGGTGTCAAGGAAGATAAGGGATATTTATTTAAGCATATTTCCATGGAAATATGACAACTGTATGCTGTTAAGTGAGAAGAAGCAGGTCTCAGAGTATATATTGGTTGATACCACCTACGTAGAAAATGTGTATGTTTATGCATAGAAAGGTCTGGAATGGCATAAAAATATTAACAGGTACCTTTGAGAAGTGGGAACTTTCACCTTTTGCCTTAAATAATTTTATATTGATTCCTTTCAAGTGAGTATGTGCTACTTTTATCATAACACTTTAAAAGCAATTTCCATTTTGGGGAAAAATGATATGTCCTAAAGTATTTTTTTTTAAGTAGGAGTTATTTAAGATTTTTTTCCTTCTTTCTAGTTTTCTTTCTCCAGTGTCATATATTACATTTGTGGCCAAAGAATAAATGTAGCAGGCAGACTAAGTGAGATTAATATGACCGAGGACAAGGTGACAAGATAATTAGCTGGCTGGACACCAGGTTCTCCACATCGTACCCAAGCTGGGAAGCACATGTTCTCTAGACTCTGTGGCCTGGGAGGCCTGGTGAGCCATCTAAGTTCCTCAGGCAGAAGAGCTCTGCCAGGGTTCCCAAGGCTGCAAGAGAACAAGGTGAACCCTGCGCTCCACCCCCATGGCTTGCGTTTCCAGCTCAGGCTGTATCTGGACACATACAAGGAATTTGGGAACCAGTAAACTCCAAGGAGTCAGGTTCTAGTTATTTCTTCTGTTCATCCAGAAGAAAATAGAGGACATATGCATCCAACTGAGAGGTTGGCAGCCTCATGTCTCAGTTTGAGCACTGGTTTGTCCCAGTTCCTTTTGGGCTCATATCTGTTCCCCTCTAATAACAACAGCATTAAAAATAGTGCTTGCCTAATTTTAGCATGTTTTACAATCACCTGGGGCACTTGCTGAACATGTAGATTCCTAGCTCCTATCCTGGACCTATTGAATCAGACTCTACATGTTGAGTAGTTTCCCTGGTGTAATGATGTAGGTGACCCATGGATTACACTCTGAGATTATAGTGTTAAAGTGTGCATCAGGCACCACTGGCTTCATACCTAAGCTCAGCGTTTTTGTTTTTTTTTTCTTTTGAGACAAGGCATCACTCTGTTGCCCAGGGTGGACTGCAGTGGTGCAGTCTCAGCTTGCTGCAGCCTCAACTTCCCAGGCTCAGGCAATCCACTCACCTCAGCCTCCTGAGTAACTGGGACTTACAGGTGTGTGCCACCATGCCTGGCTAATTTGTTTGAACTTTTTGTAGAGATATGGTCTCATTATGTGCCCAGGCTGGTCTTGAACTCATGGGCCTAACTAATCTCCCACTTTGGTCTTCCAAAGTGCAGAGATAACAGGTGTGAGCCGCCGTGCCTGGCCAACTAGCTCAGCATTTTCTGGAAAATTGAGAAGAGGGGTCTATGTCAAGAAGTAGAATCCCTGCCCCTTGATTCTAAGTATTCCATGTAACTAGCTTTGTCCAAGGGGATGTTGCAGATATGATTCCAGCAAAGGCATGGCAAAATATATACGTGATTGGACATTCTCTCATGCTCCTGCTATTATCATGAGGAGCATATGCACAGGCTACCTCGTTGGTGCCAGGAGGAGGGTAAAGAAAATAAGGTGCAGGGATATAACAGTTCACATGCCCCAGCGAAGCCTTGCCTAGAATGGAGCCCTTAGCCAACACGTGAATGAGCCTAGCTGAGATTAGCTGAGCTCAGCCTAGATCAGTTGAGTCTTAGGTGGCTGCTATCAAATAATATTTTTGTTTCAAGTTACTGAGTTTTGGGTGGTTTATTATGCAGCCATAGCTAGCTGATACATTTAGGCAACTTGTTAGCAATGCAGACCCTGAAATTGTGATTCTCTGGGCTTAGGAATCTGTATGTGTAACAAACTTCACAGTGATTCTGATGCCGGTGCTCTATGAACCACACTTGAGAAACACCACTTTACACCCAACCCTTTTACTAGCTCAATGTGCAGTCATGGAAAATCCCCTGATATTTCTGAGCCTCAACTTTTTCATCTGCAAAGAGGGAATAATATGTATTTCCTGTGATGTAAGGATTAACTTAAATATAAAGAAACCTAGCTGATAATATTTTTTTTCTCCTCCTCCTTCAGCTTGTCCCCACCTCATCCCTACCCAACCTCAGGAAGACACCAGTACGAATATCTTAGGAAAACATGAATCTCAGGGTCACAGCTTTATTGTATAGATTTTTTAACACAGCCATATTACAAACATTGTCAGGGAACATTTACAAGAATAAATAAGATGGACTTGCAGGTGTAAAAAGATTACACTTCACTGTAATGTACAGTCAAAAAATATATCTGATATTCATTGACCTGACATTATTTACCGTCTGCTTTTTTAAGCTAGAATTGAAAAGAAAAAAAAAAAACATTGACAGCACAGTGCTGGCTTTTTTAAAAAGTTGATTTATTTTGTTTTCTCTTCTCATACGTGCTTTATCTATCAAACACCCAAACTGTACAAGTGCAGGCCATTGGGATTCATGGAGGAGGCTTCAAACAATGTGGAGACTTTGGTCTCATGCAATATCATATGCCCAGTGGATGTGAAGATGTCAGCCTCCCTGGAGTTGAGCGGGAACCTTGGGATAGCCTGTGAGGGTGTTCAGAAGCCAAGGCAATGGTAGAGGCCACAACTCTTTGTCTTTGATTGGCTAGTAGAATGTAGGGTGAAAAGTGCTTTTGAGTCTGATTACCAATGTGGGTTAACCTGGATTTACACGGGCTAACTCAGGATCCACCTGGTGATGAAGTGTATGCACTGGAAATGATTATAATCATGTGTAAATTGAGTTACTGTGCTTTTGCTTTTGCAATCTGCTCCAACAGGCCTTGAATAGGGAGTGGGGTAGAAATAACCTCTGGAGATAATGTATATGGCAAGCAAAGCCCTGGTCTGTGTCCTGCTTGGACCTTCACTGGTTCTGGCTGTCACTCATGGCCCTTTTGGTCAGTGGGTCTGAGTTATAGCTGCTCTCATCAGAGATCTACGTGGGTATTAGGTCTATGGCAAAGTGGCTGTTCCCTATAGTTTGCTGTTTGGTGATAACCAGAATGGATCAGCCCAGTATATGCAGCCACAACAGCATGTTGGCCTGCTCAGTGAGGAGACTTGGACGGGGGAGCAGGGGGCTTCAACCTGTACAGACCAAACACACTCTACTTGGATTTGTGCTCTACAGGTATGAATGAGTTCAAATGTGATCCCAGCTCCACAAGATCTCACCCATCTAGAATGGAAGTGACCTGAAATCCATTTCAGCAATGCTCCTCTTCCCTTTAAAGAGACACCTGGCATTTATTAGACAGCTGCCCAGATGGGCAGCTTATCCTCTGGCAGACAGCAGGTCTTCCTTACAGCTATTAAGTTTCACTTATGGGTCCTAGTTATACTCAGAGGAGTGACCTGGGTCTAGCAAACTGTGCTTGACTTCATTCAAGAATCTGCAGACCTATGGAGTATATGGACACCGTATTCTGCCTGATGCCTCAGAAGCCTGATTTTACATGGAATGACACCACTTTGCCCTCTGAGCCTCCAGAATGCCCTGGGGGCTTTGACCCAAAGAACACCTGACAGTATTCATCTTCCATGGGAGATACAGGGACAGGGTGGGCACTGAGAGTTTGTTGGACCATCATAGAGAAGGTCCACTGATTTGTATTCATAAGCCCAAAGGCACTGAAGTAATTGTACAGAGACTCAATTTGTAATTTTGGCGGGTTACTTCCTATGACCCTTTCTCCTCTACATCCAAGAGTCCTGCTCACTAAGGAACCATGAACTACATTAATTACCCTGAGCTCCAGGCTTTTATACTGATACTTTTCTGTCCAACACTTCAAGGCCACCAGACACTCATTCTCTGAACATTCCAATCAAGGATCAGAGTCCACATCCCACCACCCAGAGCAGTTCTCAGATACAGAAGGAAGCCCCATAACGATCCAGCCCCTAAAAGTCTTCCCAACAGATTCTCTTTCATCCTGAGCCCTTTTACTTCCCTCGTATGTGTCCCAGTGGACCACCACTGAGCTCTTAGATAGGTGGGATGCTAGGTTTGGAGGCTACCATTGTGAGTGCTGATGCCTCCTTTTAGAGACCTAACATTCATGGGTGGATTTCAGTTGGTGAATGTAGCCCCTTTGATGACCTTTTCCCATCTTTTCTGGAGGTGAGATGCAAAAGACTGGCTTGATCTCTACAAGACAACTGTATAGTCAGTGCCATGCAAAAGCCCATCCCTGGTTACTAAAAATCTAGAAGAGTCTGCTCATGTGCACAAATATGGCTTAGATGTCTTTCCTGTGCTTCTGAGGATCAGATCCATGATCCTGAAAAATGTGTCAGAAGAAACTGGGGCTAGAACAGCTCCCCGCTACGCTCCACCACTAACCTCTCTCCCTGTTGTTCAGACAGTCTATGACCTCAAAGGCAGATCCCTGCAAGAGGAAGCCAAGGTCTTGCATTCTATCACTTCTAGACATGTATACATGGAAAACCTCCAACAGAGAGCCCTTGCATGGGAGGAGTGAACAAATCTGAATATCAGCTTGTCTCTTCTAGTTGGATTTACTTTTCCTAGTTCCTTGTTTTACTTGGCTGTGATTCAAAGCTGGTCATAGAGTGAGAAGGAGCTCACACTGTTAAGTAATGAGGAAGGCACGTCAGGGATTTGAGATGACATGACTATCCACGTTTATGTTTTTTTTCTTCTACCCTCCAGTTGGGTTGACCATTTTTTTTCCCCTGGGGATCCTGGCCCAGCACAACCTGTTGACATGACTTAGGACCAGTATCGTGTTCATGCTTCCTCTTGGGCTCACCCATGTCTTCCATAGTGTTAGTCCTGATTTAGCTTGGTGCGGATGACCTGTTTACCCAACCCAGCAGTGGCCAGCTGCAGCCTAAGGAAGGGTGGCTTTCTTCATTCTGTCCTGAGGCAGTGAGGTACCAGGGAATTATCATTTCCTTCAGTGTCTCTGGATCTGGGTAGGGTAGTCACTCCTGCAGAGATAACAGGATAAGGGCCTGGCTGCTATTCCCTGGGCCTCACTTATGTTGTGTAGAGCAGTCTTACTGGACTGACACCTCTATGTACTCTAAGGGGTTCCCACCAGCGCCGAGGGAATGTAGATCCTGCTGAGGACATACAGCAAGAGCTAGTGTGGCAATGGGGAGTGGAAGATGAATAAACATGATGGGTCAGAGGGAAATTCATCATCTTTTGCCCCAGACACTGAGATTTGCCCCTGGTCCAACTGGCTCTGCCAAGCTGTTACCCATCCTTTGTCCAGCTATGTCACAGAAGTGACCACTTTGCTAAATAAGTCATCTGCATCCTTGGTTCTGAGTATTCATTGGGTTCCAGTTTCCTGGCCTTGCCTTCCTGTTTTCCTGCCTAAAGTGCTCCGAATCTACCCCTTCTAATGTTGATGAGGGTCCTTTTTTCATGTATGTTTTTACATTAATTGCTTGGCCCAACACTCTATGGCCAAGAAATGGCAGGGTTGGGATTCAAACTAAAGACTGAGCTCTGTCTACCACAACCCCATGCCTTACCCAGGAATTAATTGTGCCACAGTAATCTTGGTTTCCTAATAGTGCTCTCTGCAAGGTGCTATGTGCTGTAGGCAACCAGTAAGTATATGTGGCCGGGGTAAAGCGAGGAGCCTTCCAGACCCCAGCTGCTCATGAAGTGTGTCCTCAGACTTGCCCACATTAGCAACCATGTGACTCCACTTGGACAACAGGCACCACTTTCCAGCCTAGCATTCAGGAATCTGCTGAGTACAGCTGTGTCCAGCCTCTCCTTTCCTTTTAGGGTTTTGTGGGCTCATCCTTCTCCACGCCAGATGAGCAAATCCTCATCATTCTAGTGTGAGTCAATGGGTTCCTTCCAGCACCCAACTGGAAGATACCTTAGTTGAGGTCCACTCATGAACAGTGAGGTCAGAGCATCTGCACACCAAAGGAGCTGCCTAGGAGAAGGTCAGTTGGTCTTGATCTTGCCTATAATTGGCTCTGGGAGGCAGCAGGGTCACTGCTCCTAGAGTCAATTCTAGGGTCAAGCTCAAGACCAGCTGACCCAGGGTCCGTCATAGTGAGGTGAACAGAACAACATGAGGAACAGAGCACATTTTTTTTTTGAAATATTCATACAGTCATATTAAAACCAACCAGGCTAAATCAGAAAGTGGAATGCAAATTTTGCATGAATTGTTAAAGTAAAACATGAGACTATGAAGGAATTTTAAGCTTACTGTTGTTTGCTTTGAGCTGTATCCACTGAGATAGCTGTTCCACTCTAGTCTCTTCTGTTATGGATAACCTCCTGGGAAAAATGTGAGATACAATGGTGGAAAAATAGTCTCTGTAGTGAGAAAAAACCAGTTTAAATCCTGGTTCTTTCACTCACTAGCTATGGAACTGTGGGCAAGTGATTTCTCCCCTAGGAGCCTTACTTTCCTCATCAGTAAAATGGTGACAATCACAAACCCTCCTTTACAATGTTGGAAGAATTTAATGAGCTCACACATTACAGTCCCCAGCATAGGGTCTGTTGGTTCCTTTGCAGGCCACACCCACAGAGAAGGCCAGCACTAAAAGCAAGCTGTCCCTTTCCATTCCCACAAAGGCCTACTGTGGCCTTCTAGAGACCCAAGGGCCCCTGGTTGGCCCAGATTCTTCACCCCAGAAAGGATGCAATGTTGGAGTGCAGCTAAGATACATCCTGTAGCTATCTAGGCCATAAACACACACAAGTGGAGAAAGTTCCTGGACTTCTCAATACTTCCTTGTATCTTCTCCAAATAGGGTTCACATCTATGAGGTAAGAGCTCTTGTTGTAAAGACTCAGAGAGGACTAATAATATTTTCCTCTGCTCATGACAGGCTGAGCTCACCCTGTAAATGGGGTGGGGTGGGGAGATCCCCTGGGGGAGGTGGTGTTGATTCCAGAGATTTCCTGGGTAAAGGAAAATGTTCAAATTCCTGGGCACCGGTGCCCCATCTCATCCAAGCCTTGCCACATCCTTGTGCCATGGGATCTTAGGAAGTCATCCCCATCTGTGAGCCTCAATTTCTTCCTGTGTGCACTGGCTTAAGACCTATTCACTGCCCTGCTTTCTTTGGAGAATGGTTGGGTTGTGGGAAAACAAGGGGATGAGCTGGGGGAATCATCACTGGTCCTTGCTGGGTTACCCCACCATGGCCTGATATATATATATATATTTTTTTTTTTTACAAGTTTTTTTCTTCTTGAAGTCACACTTTAAATTCCTACCATTTAAAATGATAGAAACTGCTGTCATGTTTATCTGCCAGCTATTACACCCCTTCCTGAGCAGAAAAAAAATCTTAGGATTTGTGTTAAATAGCTCTCCCTCCACCCTCATCCTGTCTGGATGTACCAAGATCTGAGAAAATAGCCTACAGCAGGTGAATCTCCCATGCTCCAGGCTCCTTGCAGGCTGGGGAAGGCCAGCTGGGGCAGTGGGCTGGAGCCAAGGGAGGCCAGCAGGCCCAGTGTGGGTGGGTCCCCGGGGTCTGCTGAAATACACCTGGGGAGAGGCTCATCAAAGGAAAAGAGCAAATTCGTCGTGGGGTTCCTTTGCTTGCCTTTGCTTTGAGGCACTTCCTTTTGAACCTCTAAAGTGACAGCCCTTCCTTGATCAAGTCTGGTGTCCCTGGACTTCTAGACAGCTCCAGAGCCCATGTCAATGGAAGCCACTTTTGTGGGCTCCTTTCATGTTCCATCCTCATGGGCCTGGAGATCTGGGTTGGTGACCCTGCTCCATGGTAAAGCAGAGACCCTGGGTTTCTCATAGAATCCGAGTCTCATGATCCACTGCATATTTAGTTCCAGCAACAAAACAGTGAGCAGACAGACAAAGAGATGTGATATTAAAAAGTACACACTTAAGGGAATGTTTTCACAGTGTCTGATGAAAGTAAAAGAGGCAGCCCCATTGGTCAGAGGGAGTCTTTGCCAACACGAAGCTGAGTACATCTCTCTAAAGCTCCGTGGACTCCTTGTTGCCAATAGGACAAAGTCTGCACTCGCGATGGGCCTCTCTCTCCTGGACCCTGGCTCATCCCTGCTGCTCCGCCTGTTGTGCTGTGCCCGCACTGGGCTGGCCTCCCCTGGACTGCTCCTCCTGATTCCTTTTCACATTTCTTTGCTATTGCACATATGGATCCCTTTGCCTGAGTTTCCTTTTTTTCCTTTTTCTACCTGTTAAGACCCAGCAGGAACGGATGTCCCCTTCTCCAGGAAGCCCTAGGCCAAAGAGACTTTCTTGCTCCTAGGCTCATGGAACACTCATCCACTCCACACTACTGCACCGTGGTTCAATTTCCCCAGCATACAGTGGGCTCCTGAGGGCCAAAGCTGTGCCTTCTTGGGTTCTCTGCCCCTCATGCCCTGTCTGGGGCTAGACCAGCCTTCAAGATGGAGCTTCCTCGGTCCCAGCCCACCTGAGGCTGTCAGATACTGGGCCTAAGCACTGGCTAGAGATCAAGATCGAGAGTGTCCCTGGCTGGTCCCTTCATAGCCTGAGGGAACAGGGAATTGTTTTTACTGACTAAGAAATTAGATGAGACTGGCTTTCCTGGGGAGCTGGGAATGTGTTACTAAAATATATATGAAATTCTGGGCTTCCCAGAAGAACTGGCATCAGGAAGAAAGTACTAAATTTCCATTTGTAGAGGAGTTCTCTGCTCAGAAGTTTCTGGCCTTATTTTCCCTCCATAAAATAACTGCTTGACTTAGAGAACATGAGAAAAACAGCACAGAGAAGTCTCACTGCCATTACCTGCCCCTTTGGAACCCAGGATTTCAACACTGAGGAAGGCGCCTGGGTTTCCTCATTGGAGGAGATGATCAAATGGGGATGGTAACAAGCCAGTAGCTCTCTCCTGGGGGTTCTAAGGACTGAGTGGAATGTCCTGTGGAAAGTGCCAAGCATGATCCCTGGCATACAGTAGAGACTTAGCAAATGTTGGTTCCCTCTCACTGACTCACACTTTGGACAAGACCCTAGATCTCCGGGCCTGATTCTCTTGACCTATTTTAAATCAAAGTATAATGGGCTCCACAATGGCCTTTTTCAAGGTGGCTGCTGGGTTTCTTTAGGAAGGAGTTCAAATTTGGAGAGCCAAATTATGCCCAAAGCTGGTGCTCTATCTGCCCCAGAAACCAAAGGGACCATCTTCAGGCTCGCCCATCTCTCCCTTGCTCAGTGGCATGCTGTCCCAGGGTGGGAGCTTTTAAGGACATTGCCAGGAAAAAATAAAAGGCCCGAGAGATTTGTCTTAGAGGTACACACTCAAACTCCCCCGCCCCCTTCTTTTTGACGTAAGAGACTAAGATTTTACACCCCTCAAAAGAAAGTTTCTTTTCACATACACTTTGGAAAATAATCAGATCTTGTTTGTCTCTTCCAAAGAAAGCTACCACCAAAGAGACACACGAGTTACATCCTACAGGTCAGCCTGAGCCCTGCCCCAGGGAGGTGGTCCCTTTTTACAAAGACAAGGAGGAGCAGAGAAGTTCCCTGCAGTTCCACCCTCTCCCACTGACCACACAAAAAAGCAAAGAACACCTTTATCAAAGAGTGCTGTGGACACAGCTGGCCGGCCAGTGAATGCTGGACAGTCAAGGCCCAGGCTGGGGAAGGGGTACAAAATGGTTGTGGGCCAAGCCCCATGCAGGTTAGGTGTGAGGATGGGGGCCTCTCTCGTGACCTAGGGAACATCGTAAGGTCACACTGGTCCAGACTGCAAATGTCTGGTGCCAGAGGCCCCTGAAGGAGGTTGCAGGGGGCAGCAGAGCAGTGACCCCCAAGAGCCCCAATCTTTTCCATGACATGGAGGAGCAGAACACACATCTCCTCCACTCCCAAGGAGAAGGAAGGCAGGGGAGCTTCCCATTCCCCAGCACCTGCACAGTCGGCTTGCCACGAGATCCACAAACTCAGAACAAAAGCAGGAGGTCTGGGAGCCAGATGGGAGCCAGAAATCCAAGGCCTTGCTTGTGGGTGCACTTCTGCTTGGGCCCGTGGCTGTGGCTGGTTAGGTTGAAAAGGAAGCCTGGGCCTTTTGGAGCAGCATCTCCCACAGTAACAGGAGACCCCTCAGAAGGTGCAGAGCCCCCCGTGGAACACAGGGCCACCAGTCTTCTCCTTGGAGTCAGGCAAGGTGCCACCACCTCAGAGCCCCTGAGCCCAGTTACTGCCATTCACACAAAAGGGGGCTTGGTCACAGCAGCCTCTGGACTCCGGCAGGTTCCCCATCCCATTGAGCTAAAAGGAGCTTAAGTATTCCAGTGCCACCTCGTATACAAATTTATACTGTTCCTGAGAGGCGGAGAGGAGGAGAGGCAGAGAGGGAGAAGAGGAGACAAGAGAGATGAAAAAGGAAAGGGAAAATGCATTTAGTTTAGAGATACAGAGTTTGGAGAAAACTTTATCTACATCCACATTATGTCAACTCAAAATTACCCCTATCTGGACATCCTTCAAAATTCCGCTTGATGGCTGCTTCTACCCAGGCTTCCTCGAATGCCCAGCTGGCATCATTCCCTTTCTTTTTTACTGTTTTGTACAACAGTGCTTCTCAAACTGTAATGTGCATACAAGGCAGCCAGAAATCTTTTTAAAATGCACATTCTGATTCAGTAAATCTGGAGTAGGGCGCAAGATTCTGCATTTCTAACAAGCTCCCAGGTAATGATGCTGCTGCTGGTCTGTGACCCACGTGCTAATAGGGCCTCATTTTGACCAAGACCACACCTGGAGTAGGTTTAAAGACATATTAAAGCTCCTCGTGCATGGTGCAGTGGCCCAGCATGTTACCGGCCGGGTCTTACCATCTGGGGCTCGGCCCGCACACCCTCTTTGCCGCACTTTCCCCCACAGTGCTCTCTACTGCAAATGCTCTCTATTGTAAAAATTAGCATAAATTAATTGGAATATAATTAGAAGTGAAAGCATACTTCACATTCTACTAATCCAGAATCCGTTCCTTTAAGCCTGAATTAACGACACTGTCTTAAGGAATGGGCAGAAAGTGAAGCAAAGTAGGTGTAGCAGGATTAATAATTGGATTTTCCTGCAAGAAAGAAAGGTTGGGGAGGTTGGAAGGGGAAGACACAGGGCAGATAATGGTGCATATCAAGGGCACAGACTGCAGGTATATAATCAGCAGCCAGCTGTTGAGTGATTTTACTATTTGATGTCATTTTCTCCAGGTCAAGGGAACTAGTCAGCCCCTGGCTGTTGGAGAACAGTCCTTGGGATACTCACCAGGGTCTCCACCATGTTGGATTTGTTGTTACGCAGTGTTTTCACGATGTGGAACACGTCAATGATGTTTTGCTGCTGGATCATCTCACACACACTGCAGATGGCACAGAAGGTTCCACTACGGCCTCCCCCATTTCTAAACACAGAGCAAAGAGGTGAGCCATGTTCCTAGGTCCCTTCCAGGCACCTGATGATTCTAAAGGTACATCAGTAGGAATAGGGATCAGCTGCCTGGGCAGATACAAGGCAAGGCAATGAATGGTGCAGGCTTTAGCCTGAGCCATGAGTTATGGTTTGACTCTGTGCCATTAACTTCCTTTGACCTTGGGCAAGTCACTTCCTCTGTCTGGGCCCCAAGTTCCTCACTCATATAATGAAGGGGTTGGACTAGATGACCTTTGAAAGTTCAATTAGCTTGACGTTTCTTGGTTCTATGAGCATGTTACAGTCACTCGGGGCACACTCACCCAAACGCCAAGGGCAGGACAGTACTGTGTCTTTGTACATGTGACACCTGCATCCTTGCTGATGCTTGCATCCATGTCCAAAAGGATGCTGTGGGTCCACTTAAACATCCAATAAAGACAATGAAAATTTCCAAGTGATTTTCCTACTAGTTCTTCCCATCCTCCACTAAGGATAGCAATACTCTGTTAGTCTAGGGTCAGCCAGCCCAAGCTTGGAGGTAGGAACTTGGAGGGAGGAACTGGGCCTGATAGGCTTTATCTTAAAATGACAGGTGTCTACTATACACCTTGGTTTAAGCAAGATGCTACTGATCTTGAGTCTAGGGATAGAAGGTTGGTGGCAGAGCTATGTCTGTTATTCCTTTCTGAAATTCCATAAGTCATCTTCATGGAAACACCCTTCAAACTCTTTACAGAGAGTCCCTGTAGGAATATGCCTGATTCAGAACTCCTGGGCGTGTTGCCAAGAGCAACTAATGATTTCATGTAATGGTCTGTGTCTAAAGAACATCTGGACGGAAACTAAGGCACTCAGTCAATCTCCCAGATGTTTTATCTACAGGATACGCAGTGACCAGATGTTTCAAGTACAGAGAGTTGCTTTCCATTCCCTGACTGGTGCCTGCATTTCAGGGTCTGTTATGGTGTCTGTGACTCTTGAGGAAACCAAGGTCCCTGTTGGTAGAAGAATGTCCCTGTACCTTCCTTTGGTTCAAACTACTGGCCACCTTGGCTGGAAAGGACATAGATAAAAAGACACTACTGCAAATGAAAACAAAAACAAAACAAAAACAGGCTAAAAAACAAACATGAGAGAGAGAGAGAGAGAGAGAGAGACAGAGAGAGAGAGAGAGAGTAAGGTCTCCTTTGAAAGAAGATTCTATCATTTCTGAAGCAAGAATAACAGTGTCCAAAGGGAAGAGGTGAGTAGGCACAGGGTCTCAGGGTCTGGTGGTCTGAGACCCTGAAAGATGGGTGCTAAGATAAGGTCACCTGAATGTGTGGGAGGCATCTGGGCATCTGGAGGCAGCAGGGATTAGCTGGCAGGAAACCAGCTGCTAGTTTCTGGGATGTGGGCAGAGCCACCTGGGCTTGGCTGATGCCACCCATCAACCTGACTTGGGACACCACGTAGTGTCTTCCTGAACTCTAGCCTGAGATTTGCTTCCTCTGGAAAGGAATATCTGCTGCAGGTGGTGGCCCTGAAGCTCTGTGTGTGCATCTCTATGTGTCTGTATGTTTAACCTCCTTTAAGCTCTCTGACTTTCCTAACATGTGCATGCACCACCTGTTTGAGAGGGAGAATAATTAGCTGGTTTTGAAAAGATTGACCTCAATTCTGAGGTCAGTCAGATATTATCAGTGCCTCCACTAGCTCCAGAAATACTTGTTCTGAGAAAGAGAAGACTTTGGTTCAAATTTCCTTTAACATAACATTTTTAAAGAGAGAGGCCTTCTCAATGACTTTTCCTCAAATCGTTGAAGTTCTAAGAAGCAAAGTGAGTGACTGTGAATCAAATATTTCACACATAGCTGTTATGGCTGCAGATTTGTTTTGGGTGTGAGACTTCGTAGAACCCTCTGTGGTCACTCTGTACTCCTAGGATAGGTTCTGTGACACTTGCTCTTTTAAGTAATTACATTGACAACATTTGCATATTTGCTACCATGACATTCTTGGTCATGTTGGCAGATAAAGTGTGTTTACTTTCTATTTCATGCCAAAGCACTATAGGGTCTGAAGATTGTCTAATTCCACATACTCATTGAACAGATGAGGAAACTGAGGCTTATAAAATTCAGTGATTTTCTTGACATTGGACCCTTTGTCAGCCACTGTCCTCTCGAGGTCCTGACCTCCACCCCACGTAATGACATCAGAATTCATTAGACTGGACAATGTCCATTCAAAGACAGGAGGTAAAGTCTGCAGTTCACCCCAGCAATGGGGGTATAAACACAGCTGGTCTGGAGCTCACTGTGCCCCTGTGCAATAGTGTTCCCAGAGTCCTTCACATCTGTCTATCAGTCCCTCAGGGCAGTGCCTTTCCCTCATGCTCTTTTTGTCCTGTGATCCCTCTAAACCCATCGTAGAGAAGTAGGCATAGTAGACAAGTCCTTTGGTTTACTCAGAGACAGTGTGGGTTAATCAATGGCGCATTAGCTTAGAGGCCAGGGAATGCAAGCCATAGCCCCACCCTTGATTCCTGATGACCTTACCCTGCCTGCACCTCAGTTTTCTCACTACAAAATGATAATTATCTACTTCACAAATGGATAGAGCTGATTCATTTAAAATGTCTGGATTAAATTAAGCTCTCATAATCAACACCTTCCCTTTTCTCTCCTTCTTCTTCTTCCTCGGGAAATAACAAAGGAGGTTCTGGTCAGTGGAACCCACTTTGTCCTGGGTTTTCTTGTGACTATCAGGGCATATCATGCCTCTTATTGGAAAATGGGGCTCACCTTATTATTGCAAGCGTTGGAACATGGTCTGCCACCTCCTCTCATGTTTGTGGAAAGACTACCAGGTTTTGCATCAATCATATGCCATATATTAGTTCAGGACAACAAACTGGCAGCCCTGTTCCATTAAAGGATCATAATTCCTTTGAGTGCACTGCCACTAGCCTTTGAGGGATGTTGAGTTGTGGTATAGCCAGGCCTGCCTAGGACTGGTGTATGTGGCCAGCAGCATCTGCAAGGATGCCTTATCACCCACCATCCTATTGCCCTGGTGACACCTCCCTAGTACTCACAGGCAGTGGACCACAGTGCGTCCCTCCCTCCCGTCATACTGCTCCTGCCACTTCTCCAGTCGTCGGACCACTTTGAGCAGAGAGCGCTTGGAGGGGGGCGTGTCCCGGTAGGCAGGCCAGCCAATGTACTGGAGGTGCTGGACTATACGATAACCGTCCTGTGGCTGAGAACAGAGAGGCTGTTAGGGCTGTTCTGGTGGGAATGCTTGGGGACACGCACCTTGAAGATACCCTGGGGATTGCAGCATCATAGTGGAAGACAGACCAAGCGGGATCTAAGCCATGTCCTCATGGGGAGAGTCCCCATGACTACTTCTATTCCTTCGTGCACACAGACTCTCTTGCCGTGACTGCCCTGACCCCCTTTTGTACCTAAAAAACTCCTACTCAGCCTTCAAAACCCAATTTAAATGTCCCTTTCTTTAGGAAAGCCTTCTCTGACTGTTGGGCAGAGTTCTTTCTCGCTGAGGCTCATGTGCCAGAACATGTCTCACTTTCTCAATAGACAATGAACTCTGAGCTGAGGGGCAGGGGAGGTGCTGAGCTCCTTTCATCCTGGGCCCCAAGTAGTGACCAAAACTGTGTTAGCAACCATTTCATAGATTGCTAATCTGCCCCTCCCACCCACTACTCTGCTCAGCCAGTGAATATCCTCATGGAAGTAAGTAATCACTTTTCATCTAGGTATTGGCAGTGCCTGGCCCAAAGCTTATGGGATCCAATCAAAGGCTGCATCAACTCATGCCAGTACAGAGACACAGTGGGGAAGATCTAATGTCTAAGAAGTTTTGTCTACACGGCAGCAAGTGTGTCAGGAAACAGGCAGATGGCAAGTTGGATGTCGCTCATTGCATCTCTATGTGTTGAAGTCATTGCTGAGTCTGGAGCCGGAATCAGCACAGGCATCACTTCCTCAAGGAAGAAATTATCAGGAGAGCACAACACAGACTCTTGGCTGGCTCAGCGGGATCCTCTCTCAGCAGCCTCCATCTGTCTTGGGGAGGAGGGGCTCAGCGAGCAATGGTGGCCGTGTACTTACCCGGGCCATGTTACAGATGCGGAATATTCTGTGGATGATGTCCTCGTCGATGTCTGCGGAGACGAACTCCACCTGGATGGGCCCGTAGCACCCGGAGGTCTTCTCAGGCCAGTACTGCATACAGAACTGGGATAAGGAAAGAGGTCACAGAAGGAGGTCAAAGGCAAGAGGGTGGGTATCAAAGTCTTATGTATCAACAAGCTTTTCTTTCTTTTTTTTTTTTTTTTTTTTTTGAGACGGAGTATCACTCTTGTTTTCTTGTTGCCCAGCCTGGAATGCAGTGGCACAATCTCGGCTCATTGCAACTTCTGCCTCCCAGGTTCAAGTGATTCTCCTCTCTCAGCCTCCTGAGTAGCTGGGATTATAGGCGCCTGCCACCATGTCTGACTATTTTTAGTAAAGATGGGGTTTTGCCATGTTGGCCAGGCTAGTCTTGAACTCCTGACCTCGAGTGATCCACACGTCTGAGCCTCCCAGAGTGCTAGGATTATAGGTGTGAGCCACTGCGCCCAGCCATCACCAAGCTTTTCTTATGGCTGGCAGGACACATTGACCAGAAAGGTAGAGTATTATATAGGAAATTAGACTCAGTTTCCCCTTTAGGGAGCAGCCACCCACTTTTTCTGGTGTTGAAATATCAAGGCTTTGAGCACAGAAACACTGGGCTTACAAATCTTTGCTATGCTGATTTCAAACCATTTGTTAGGTTTGCTGAACCTGAGTTTCCTCATCTGTAAAATGGGGAGAATAATATCTACCTCTAAGCCCTGCTGTCAGGATTAGATAGAACATGCTAAAGAAAGGGCAAGTACAATCTAGTTTTCTTTTCACCATGCAAATCATGGCAAACTCTTCCTCATTCCAGGAAAACCTTCATAGGGTTCATTCATGATCAGGTCAGAAGTAGTATAAAAAATATAGGGGTTTGACCTCAGGCAGCCTTGGTCCAAATCTGGGCTCTGGTGCTTACTAGCTGTGCAGCCCAGGCCTCAGTTTTCTCATAGGTATAGTGGGGATAATTATGCTTACTTTGCACCGAAAGTTAATGTCACATGGTACTAACAGATCTTGCCTGTGATTTTTTCTATTTATCTGGAATTGGAAATTAGAACCTACAGCTGAGAGCAAAAGGCAATGATTGACCTTCAGTTTAAGACAGTGATTCTCAGTTGGAGGCTGTTTTGTTTCCCAGGGGACATCTGGCAATGTCTGAAGACATTTTGATTGTCACACCTGGGGGTTGATATGGGCATTCAGTGAGGAGAGGATGTTACTAAACATCCTGAATGCACAGATTAGCTCCCCCCGAGAGTTATGTGGCCCCAAATATCCATACTGCAGAGACTGAGAAAACCTAGTATAAGATCTTTTTTTTTGAGATGGAGTCTCTGTTACCCAGGCTGGAGTGCAGTGGTGTTATCTCGGCTCGCTGCAACCTCTGCCTCCCGGGTTCAAGCGATTCTCCTGCCTCAGCCTCCCAAGTAGTTGGGACTACAGGCACATGTGATCATACTGGCTCTTTTTTTTTTTTTTTTTTGTATTTTTAGTAGAGACAGAGTTTCACCGTGTTAGCCAGGATGGTCTTGATCTCCTGACCTCATGATCTGCCCACCTCGGCCTCCCAAAGTGCTGGGATTACAGGTGTGAACCACCACACCTGGCCATAAATTATTCTTTAAGCTTCAGGGGTCATTGAGAAGAAGAGGTGGAGGCTGGGTGTGGTGGCTCACACCTGTAATCCCAGCATTTTGGGAGGCCGAGGTGGGTGGATCATGAGGTCAGGAGTTCAAGACCAGCTTGGCCAAGATGGTGAAATCCTGTCTCTACTAAAAATACAAAAATAAGCCAGGCATGGTGTCAGGCACCTGTAATCCTAGCTACTCAGGAGGCTGAGGCAGGAGAATCACTTGAACCCAGGAGACAGAGGTTGCAGTGGGTTGAGATCATGCCACTGCACTCCAGCCTGGGCAACAGAGCAAGACTCCATCTTAAAAAAAAAAAAAAAAAAAAAAAAATGAAGGATACTTTGCTGCTTGTATCTTTGTCTCTGTTGAGCCACTAGATAACTTAGTTGAGGAGAGAATGTTGTGGTAGGCGGTGGGGTGTGTGGCTGCAGAGGAGAGCAAGGCATGCTCCCTCCAGTTCCTGGTTCTCAAGGGGCACAGAGATGGACCCTGCCTAGGTCTGCAGGTCCCATTGCTGGGGTACAGAGGAGAGTCAAGATTGGGGCTGCAGGCTCACTGGCTCACTGAGGACTATGCCAACATGAAGAAAGAGGCCATGTGTTAGACCCTTCATTGGGGGGTTGCCCTGAAGATATAGCCAAGATTCACAAAGACAGACCCACCAAGGCTTCTGAGAGCAGTTTGGGATTGAGTCTCATCGGGGGGCCTGGGTTCAGGCTACCCCAAGCTTGCAAATAGGGGGCTAGATTGACAGAAGTGACCCACACCCCTACAGATGCAGGGTTTTCATTGAAAGGGGTGCTTGCTCTCTACTTTGTGGCTGAAGAACAGCCATCTCACCCTGAGAAGTCACATGTGAAAATATCTTCATTCTTTTTTTCCTCTAGAACTAGAATTATAAGGGAAGAGCAGTGAGCAGGAAGGATGTAGGAGATGGAAACTCATGTTTCCCACCTTCTTAGCTGTGGATACCCCAAGTTCTAGCTTAGGAACATTCACTTTATAGCAGCAGCTGGCATACTATTGCCCACAGACCAACCCAGCCAGCTGCCTATTTTTGCATATAAAACTTTGCTGAAACACAGCTACACTTATTCATTTATGTATTGTCCACAATTGCTTTCATGCTTCACCCACAGAGTTGGGTAGTTGTAACAAAGACCATATAGCCTGCAAATCCTGAAATATTTCCTATCTGGCTCTTTACAGAAAAAGTTTGGCAACCCCTGCTTTATAGGGTTGTTCTGAGGATAAAGGACATAATTCATGTAAATAAAGCCCTTACACAGTGCCAGGCATGGAATAAGCATTTACTAAATTCCAGTGATTCATACCATTATTGAACCCATCAGTACTCAACAAAAATAATAATGGTAATAGCTATCATATATAAATTTGAAGGATTCTTCTTATCACCCCTGATAAATAGCATAAGTATGCAAGGTTAAGCTTCAGAATGCAATGATGCCTTGCTTTCCTGGCACCTCCACTGGGGGTTAACCAAGCATAGTGAGAAAGGAGCTCTGAGTGTGTGTGTGTGTGTATGTGTGTGTGTGTGTATGTGTGTGTTGTCGGGGTGCTGGTCACAGAGGCCTCCATGGCTGGACAACCATCTGCTGAACTGTACAATAATGACAAATCCACAATTTGAACTTCATTTCTCTTTGCCATTGGCTCTTCCGCCTTGCAACCTTCACAGTAATGAGAGACTGGTACAAATAGGTCTATGGTTGGTCAGAGAAACCAGAATTAATCAGAACTGCCCATTAAAAAAATAATTGCCTTTATCACCTGCACTGAATTTAGCGTTCCCAGAGTTTGGCTGTGATCCTGACATGAGGTACATGGATCCAAATCAGGGAAAGCCTATTATCCCCAATATCTTCAGTCTGGAGAGAATGTGGAATGATTTGTCTCTTTTAATAAGATTTCCAGACCAATTTCTCAAGCTAATAGATTCTACTATGCCTCAAACAAGACTCCTGTATTTCGGGACCCTTCTCTGCATTCGATTTTCTGGGTCACTCTCTCATAATGCCCAGAGGGCTGGGGAAGGTTGCAGGCTTTTCCAATCCTTAATCAGAGTCATCCTTTCACTTGGGTGCCCTAATTTCTGAGACTACAGCAGCAGCAGGATGGGTGGCATTCAGAAAGGTGATGTGCTGGCATATGTGGTGTTTGAGCTGCTACGGATCATCAGGGTCTCTCTCTGCAGCCCAGGACATTGCATATACTCTAGACATGGGAAATAAGAGAAAGAAAGCAGAGAGGCCACGTTTTCTCTTCCCACTGACCCTTTGGGGCTCAGAAATGATTCTCATCAACAAGAAATATCCTCTGTGGTTTAGCTCAAGACTGTCCTGGTGTTCAAGTGCTGTGGCTGCACCTGAATGGATGCCACCATTTTGGTTTGCTTATGTTGTATAGCAAAAGGTGGGAAAATGCATTGGGGTTTCTGGATTCCAATCCTGGCTCTATCACTTTCTAGTTGAATGGCTTGGCTACATCTCTTAGCTTTTCCAGTTTGTTATGAGTGGCTGTGAATTTTAATGTCTACTTAGCATAGGGATCTGTATCTAGCAAGCACTCAATAAATGTAAGCTGTGATTATTAGGCAGTATGGGGGAGGGTTCCTCAAAACAAGATGGATAAATAGAAGATTTTTTTCTCCACTTAGTAGCTCTTATGAAAATTTCTCTTTAGGATAATACCCAAAGGACTGCCCTTGTGAAAATTCTGGATCAGCCAGCTTGGGGTAGCTGTGAAGATGAGTAGCATCCTAGATATGCGATACTGCATGTCAAAAAACAGAGATCTGTAGGTTGCTCTGATGAGCTGAATGACCCAGAAGATAAAAGAGGAAGGTTGGGATCATTGTAGAACCAATGAGGTATAAAAGGCAACTCAATGTGTCACATAACCCTGCTCCTAACCTCTAGAATATTCCATACATTCCTAATAGCATGTAAAATGCATACTGTGCATGTATTTCTTGCAGAAACCAGCAAGGAACTGAGCTTGGCTCCCTGGCTCACATAGACATGGAACAGAGATCACAAATGTGAGTGAAGGAGCCAGACTTTTCATATAAGCACATAAGCATCTGCGATTTATACAACTCCTTGGGAGGGAAAGCTTATGGTTTCTTAAGGCTCTGGAAATGTGAATTCTAGGAAGCCTACTTGCTTCTTTAAGATCATGAGAACCTAGCTGACCTGAAAGCCACACTTAACACTCAATGCAACCTTGGCATTTTCTTCCTTAGATGGAAAACTTGTGAAGTTGGCTGATCCAAGAATAGATTCAAATTCTTCAGCCAAGAGTCTAGACCAACTGACTTTTTCCACCTCGTTGCCTAGTAAGTACTCTCTCCTACCCTTTCTTTTGCAGTGGTCTGAGGGTGAAAGGTGAAGGGAGGGCTTTACCACTGCAGATACATAC